CCCCCAATGCCTGTCAGCACCAAATCTGGTTTCCATTCCACCAGCAGCTGGTACAGAAGACCCAAATCCTCAGCCATTCAATCAAAGAGCTGAACCAGCAAAAGCACAGCTGAAGAGAAGGCCTTCTTCATGCGGGCTTTCCAGGCTTTCCAAGCTTGTGTGTTTGGTAAGAATAGCACAGGGTTGATGCGGCAAAAAGTGTTCATCAAAATGGCAAGTCTCTCTTGCTCTGGTTTCAGGTGTGACAAGCTCGTCCCTGATACGATCTTGCGCCGTCATCATGCCTTGCATGTCGTTCACAGCGAACGCCTTCTGCATTTCTGGGTCGGCCACTAGTTTCCCAGTACTGAGGCGGCTTCGAGTAAAAGGCACCTGGATCAGAAACAAAAGACACTCAATCATCATAACTCGTCTTTATGCTAGATCTCACGCGCACGTGTTGACCGTTGACCCCCTAGCGTAGCCTATTTCAACTAGTCCAGCCTATTTCAATTCCAAATGTGTGACTGCTATTGGCGAACGTCGGCACCTGAAAGTGCTTGGCAAGAGCATCTGCATCACCCGGGCCCGATGTCATCACATCATAGCCAGCCATGATGAGAGCTTTCGCAGCGACCATGTATGGCTGAACGTCGCCGCGCGAGCCATCAAACACCTCGGAGAACACACATGTTGTGTTCAATCATTGAAGATTAAACTCCTCCGTAAATGACCAAATAGTGGATATAGATGTTGGTATTAAGTTGGTATCCTGCGCGCCGACTACCTTGCAGAAACTGACATTGCAAGCCAGGCACAACCAAGATGCGCTTCACCATGGCTTCGGTACTGCACAACCGTGGATAATGAGAGCCAAAAGCTTTCAACAACTCCGTCTTCGAAAAGCCGCGCAATTTTCGATGAACAGCGACACATCATGTCCGGCCAAGGTGTGATTATGTTTTGGCAAAAGAAGGGACCAAAGTCTGGAGTCTGAACCAATCTGGTGGGGTAAAGACTAAAACCGTCCAGCTGTTGGCAGGCCAAAGCTTCCAGATTCCATGAGTCGATACGTAAACACCTGGCGAACCTAATGTTTCGACCACACTGGCGAATCCCCATGTTACTCCCCTGGCCCGTGGAATCTATGGGATTGGTTATGCCTGATTGAAGTGGCAATCGAGGCAAAGGTTTTTGCAAGGAACCCAAGCCATTGAGACACATCCACCGCAAGACTCCCGCCAAACCGAAACCTCGATCCGTCCGACTCTTCCCGAAACCTCGGATCCGTAGTGGTGACAAAACGGTCATGCAAGCAGTGGCTGAAAAACGCAAGGGAGAAAAGCAACGAAGAAGTCAAGTGGTTCTTTAATAAGATTGCTTGCCTTCTATCCCTTGATGCCTGCAGAAATACCCTTGCTCCAAAAAGCTAGGCAAGGGTTGAATTAAGCGGAATTCAAAAGTGAGGTCATGAATGAGTCAGCTCGGACCCCAATCTGGACAAAAAATGGAAACGTGTCCAGCTGTGGCCTTAGCCCTGTCACTTGATAGAGAACCTAGTAGGTCTCAGTCTGTTGTGGTTTCTTGCAGCATAATGATCCCATGCATGCACAACAGCCACTTCGCTGCTGATCCTGCAGGATTCAGATTGAAAAAAGAGGAAAATCAACAGAAATCCACTACAAACTTTTTGGAACCAATTTTGACGTAAACAGTCACTACAAGTAGAAGAGCAAGGTAGTACAGAACCAAAAGCATGTTCGAGCACATCCAAGCGGACAAGCTTGGCTTTGATCGCTGCATGCCGCCCCGTTTTGATGTGGCTCTCAAAGTAATCATTGACGACTTCAACCAGGCGGCTCTGGCCATCTTCCTTTTCCATTCCTTGAGCCACCTAAGCGCCAACCCCCAAAAGAACTACAGCACCACCCTTCGATAGCCCGCAAGTATTTAGATCAAAGGAGGGGGACATTGGAACCGTCTAAACACAATCGTTTTTTGGTGGAGCCGATATCGTTTTCCAAGGTTTCTTCAACAAGAATCCTGCTACGAGTAGGTCTTTTCAACAGATTGCAGTTGGTTAAGGCAAAGCCAATCCTTGATGAAAAGCTTTGCCCATGGGCTTAGCTCAAATAAACCTGCAAATGCAACAAAACATTGTAACACCAAACGTCCTTATACCCACTACATCTTAATAATATCGTTTTCCACCGAAACGAAGCCCTCGAAAATAGACTAGGGTCATACCGTGACAAAATAAGTCAATCTCATATATATATATATATGCGCAAACATGGACAAAGCACCAACTGTTCGGCCTCTTTCCATGTGGTTCTACCAACAGCTTCAAGCATGCTCGGCTGTTCGACGAGTCGACTGCAGAACCTCGGCTCTTCGGGGTCTCGACCCGGTGCCGGACGTGGTCGGTGTCGCCGGACGTTTCGCTGTTCCCGCCGTTGGCCATCCGGCCGGCCGGCACCGAAGAATGACCGATCGCCCAGTCGTCGACTTTCGAGGTCAAAAGGACAGGCCATTTGGAAGGTGACTTTCAGGACGGACCCAGTCAGGGCTAAGGGAGTGGCTAAGGGACATCTAAAAGGGTCGGCCGTTGCAGCAAAAGGTCGGCCGAATGCGCGGCCATCACAACGATGCCTTCGGACGTGATGGGCGTTGCACCCACCCCGGTGGAGCGCCTTTGGTTGAGTGTGGATTTGGCTGCTCGAATTCTCGTTGGTTTGTTGCAAAGAACACGGGGCTGGCCTTTGGTCTGTCACATGCTGTGCGACTACGGCGCATACAGTACCATATAGGAAAGCCAGCACACATGTTTTCCACCAATGACACTGCCCCTGGGTTATCCTTGGTTTACACATGAAGTACTTTGGTAGCATGATAGGAATGGAATGACATTTCTGAGGCTTGATGAGGTAGCAGCCATAACAGGGTGTTTAGTTCTGAAGTGCTGCCGTGGCACTGCTTTAGCTTTTTCTTTGATGGACTCTGAGTGGATGCACTGTTGGATGGCCCCTGCCAAGTCGTCGGGCTTGAGCTTGGACATCATCTTCAGACCAACACCGAAGCCCATCTGATTCAGCAAGTCTGAATGATCATACTGATCCACGATGATGGGCGTAATGACCTAACTGTGAGATGATCTGAGATGCAAAAATATTTGAAAGCTGGCACAATCTTGCACACATGCACATGCTACATCATCTGCACCCCCGTGAGCACGTGAAAAAGAACAACCCTGCTGTACAATTGGCCAAATGACCGTTGGCGTGCCTGACCTGGCAGAGGAGTTGAATGTGCCTGCACCCCCCATGATGAACACAAACTTTGCATCGAGGGAATAAACGACCATGTGGGGCTGTCTTCATGAACAAGACCTTCTCCGCACAGTAGGCTTTGAGCTCCTCAGCGTCTGGTTCCCCAAGAATGTCGGCCTCAGACATGGTCGACCAACTTGAAACTAGAATGCCACGCTCGCCGGTCTTTTTCAATGCTCTCAAGGACAGCAGGCACATGAACTTGGATGAACCACAAATGAGCGAGCCGTAGCCAAAGTAGACTGGTGCACTCCCTGCGGCGAGGAAATCCTCTAGGAGTTTTTTCCTGCTCTCCGCCAAACTCGCTCCCTTGCTGTTGCTGAGGCGTTGGCATCAGCGCTCCAATCTGCACATTGTTGGCATTGAACTCTGCTGGAATGTCTCCATTCAAAGTGGGACTGCATGCAATGATGGACAAAAAGGCAGGGTTGGCACTCCAGACCTGATACAATTCTCTCAACAAAACCTGCAGTTTGGGGGCAGGCTTGCCCGTCAGCTGCGCAATCACTTTCGAGGAATTCTTCAGCTCTGACTTGAGCATAATGCTCATCACCAAATACCACCTGAATCTTCCACACAAATGACATTGGACATAGGCACTGAAACGGGACTGAACCCCCCACCACTTCATGCCATGAACCAGAAAGGAAAACCGGTTCTGAAAACT